TTGTTTCATCGAAAAATTTGTCATCAATACCTTCAAATAGAAGTTGCAAAACAATTGATAAGATTGGGCAATCTTTGAAGTATTTATGTCCATATTCAGCTGTACGCTTCAGAACAGAATCATAATTGACGGCATCTTTATATTCTTCTAACAATGAAATAAACCACTGATTTGAAGAACCATATTTTATTTTCCATTGTTGTTCAAAGTATTTTTTCAGAGATGTCATCAATTGGCCATCGTTTTCATTTATTGCTGCTGTATAGACTTTTGGTGCGAACTCATCTTTATACTTAGACAATGCTTGTCGACCATTTTCTAACAAATCATTTATAATTGTATCTTTTATTTCATGTTTTTCCAAGCGAAGAGCGCATATTATTTCATTCTTGGCTAATTTTAAAATTTCATCATCGACGACATTGCCACGCTTTCCTGTTGAAGAAAGTTTGATTATTGATAAATTAGAAGAATGGGTGGGTATGAGGTGCGTCTGTGTCTTTAGCTGTGAGTAATGACTAGACCTACACCTCAAAAACTAAAAGGTCCAAAATATTCAATAACTGAAAGAAATGCATACCAGTGTATAATAGAATCAGTCGATGGGAAAATTCTTCGCACTTATGGAGTGATGCTTCTGTCTGTCTCAAGTCGCCCACAGCAAGAAGAAATAGAACGAAATCATATACATATTTCTACCATTCATGGCACTTTTCTGTACACTTCCATTCAAATAGTCGTATATCACTTACTGTAAAAAAGCGATAGGATTATTATCTGCTCTTAAGTTATTTTCGACTTCTACTTGTGAAGGTAGAAACTATTGAAGAATTTTTGCTTTGTTCATGTGTAATTTCTTCTCACTTAAATGGACATAAATAACGCCTGTTTTTCTTTCAAAAGACAGCATTTTTTTTTACTCTTTGAGTTGTAAGTCATCTCTGCTGTGAACGGAACTATTTCCTGTCTTTGAAGTGTACGGTTCATTCCTAAGAGTGTACGAATGATTTCAAGATAGACATTGTCCATCAGCGAATGACTGAGAAAAAAAATAAGAGAATAAATAGAAACCAGAAGATGATTGATTGTGAAACTCTCTCTTGCATAAACTATGACGTCACAACAGTCAGTAGCTGCGGATGTGGGGTGAAGGTAGGTGCCTACATGTTTTTAGATATATTCGTCACTCACATCCACCCCTGCAACTACATTGACACCAATGAGGATACCCACACATGCACTCATATCGTCATTGTCTGATTAACCATTCTGTGGATACTAATTAGGCAACCTCTAGCTTGGAGAATAATCCAGTTGACACTTTAGCTTTGTTTTAAAAGTTAAAGTTGAAGTTCTACTTTAAATTTTACCAGTTAAAACTGAAGTCGATAGGCATGGTTATGGGTGTTGATGTTGGTTTAACTAGTGATAATGAAAACACTCACATCTACCCTTGTGAAAAAGAGAAACCGACTGTGCACGCATATCTTTGAGTTACCTGTGTCAGCATGTGCAGTAACATTAGTTGTTGGCAATGGTTCCTTCATCATTTTCTGAATGTTATGATCAATCGTAATGCGAGAAATAAGTTCATCAAGCTGAACAACAACACCTTTTACCTATTGGTATAGAATTATAGAATGCAATTGAAATCATCAAATTTATTTTACCTTGATAAATCTGGAAGCCCATTGTTTATTGATTTCTTTATTCATACAATACACATATATTGACATAACTTGTTGGAGATTATGAACAGAAGGTACTATTTCTTTTCCCAATTGGCCACTAACAATCATTACCAGTCGATCTTTTTCTGATTGCTCTTCAATATATTTCTGACACTGTTCTTTATCTTGAAACTTCTCGAAATGCTTAACAATTGAGGCTAATTTTTGCTCTGCACTTCGGCGCTCATTCGTGTTCACATTAGCATCAAGCCAAATGATGCAGGAGATGTCATCACCTATAATAACAGCGCTTTTGTGAACGTCTTCAGATACTAGAATAGAAGGGTCGCTGCTCATGAAGAATAAATAGAATAGATATTTTGAAGATTANACCTAAAATGTCTATAAACATTGCTGTACCGGGATTAAATCCATTCTGACTTCATTGTGTTGCTCTGAACTGTATTTCACGACCCTAAATAGAAATAAACATATATCATCAAAAAAGTTGAAATGAATTTTTAGACAGTTCGGTTGTTGTCATGTTGAATCTGAACTTTCATTAATTTGTTTCTTGAAATAATTACTGATCGATTTATACGAATAATGATTCTCGTAATTTTTATGTATCACGCCACTAATTGTTAGACTGCATTTTACCTTGGAATCCTTCTAAAATAGTCTAATACGTAATGACTGATAGTTCCCTATCATTGTGATAGCTTTCTTTATACCTTGAAAGGATTAATGAGTGATATTTTATAAATCACTATTATTTCATTTATTTGCGATGGCACACCAATTGTAGAATCACCGAATCACTGAATTCGTTAGGAAGTGTGATACTAAATGTGTGCTATTTCAGATAACTTGTATCGAGAATCGAATATCATGTCAACATACTAAGCATTGCTTAATGAATAATGAATATTTTTCAGAGAAACCTGGTATATTCATGCAATACTTGTTGTTTATATGAATGCTTCCTGTAAAACTCTGAACGTGATGATTATTGTAAGTTTCTTACTCAATATACAGTAATTTATCCTCACAGAAATAGTAATATGTGTTTTCGATTAAACTCTAGAAGTGAAAAATATTCTATTCATAAGTACAAACGATGAAGTTTTGAACGTGGAACAATTAATTCATCACAATTAAAAATAGTATTATATCGACGTAGTTATAGAATAATAAATACTTTTGAATTGATTGTAGCACAATGTATTTTATAATATCTTCTATTATTTTAATTTTTTTAAACGATCATGTACAAATACTCTTTAAATTGTAAATACATCAGATGATTTAAGTATATAATTATGCTAGTTGATGCTGAATAATGTTTACAATAAGTTACATAGCATTTTAATGTTCTCTGGATTTTGAAGTAAAAATTTTTGTTATTTTATTTATCATCTGAACTGCCTTGATGGATGTAATAACAAACAGTTTTGATAATGAAATAAAATAGAGCAACCATGAAATAGAGATTATGCAACTTTCTCATTCTAATACACTACTACAGCAATAGATCTTGTTCGCTCGTAAATCCCATCACAACTCATTCAATTTGTATAAATCCTTCAAGACTCGACGAAGTTTTCTGAAACAAAAAGGGCTCCTGTTTTACAATTGATTGCTATAGTTTATATCAGACTGAGCATCGCCGCAAAATTATATACGCTATTGATGATCTCACATAATAATCTATCTTAAGCACATTATAGTAAACTATTTTTCTGAAAACGTAGTACAATAAACACTTATCCGCAAAATAATCTACCCTATTGGATAATATTGTGTAATAATCTACCCTCTACTGTATTATAATAAACCTTTTTTCTGAAACCATACAACAATCAACCCTTATTCATAGAATAATCTACCCTTTTGGACAATATCGTATAATAATCTACTTTCTACCGTATTATAATAGACTCTTCTTCCAAAAGCGCATGTTAATCTACCCTCGGTCTTCCGGTAATATAGTCTATAGCGACACCGTAGAGTAATCTACCCTTTGAGGTATCATAATAAACTCTTCTTACGAAAGCGTCGAATCATCCACCCTTAGCCGTATACTAAGAAACGTTTTTTTTCAACCGAATAATAATCTACCCTTGATTGTTGCAAAAGAAACGGTTCTGAAAAATGGATATGTTAATTTACCCTCAATCGTTTAATAGTAAACTCCTCGACTCAAGATATGAAATTAAAAACCCTTAAGAGAGCTCAATATACCCTTTGAGTATTTATATACCCTTATGCTCAAAAACCCTTCAGATCGTGAATCCTTCAAGGGTATTTTCCGTCATCATAAACCCTTCAAGAGTTTATAAAAGAGAAAATTAAGAGCAAGGGTTGACTATTCTGCGCTTTTTTTCAGTGTAGAACAAGAATGACTTAAATACGCTAGAATAGAACGAATAAAATATATACTGAGAACAAGATGTAAACAAATACGATATGAAACACGTTTAGCACAATAAACACAAAGATGCACTAAATAATTCTCATTTCTAGTAATATATAAATTCCAAATAGTGATAGATCAATAGCATTATATGTGTAGTGTAACTGGTAAAAAAATCAGATTTTTCTAATGCGTAGATCAATAAATCAACCCTGGGCAATCAGTCAAGTTGATCACTCCCATATATATATATGGTAGTGTCCAGTAAGGGACAGTCCAGTTTTGCTTTCTTTCTGAAACCAACATAGTACGTCGAAGTAGTATCACTTTTTTAGTAGATGTATTTCATACGTAGAGCTAGTAAATATCTACCTTTTTAGTCCTATCTCGTGACAGAAGCAATATGTATCAATCATTTTCTTGGCATCATATAGCCCAAAACATTTCGTTCAGACTTTGTTCCCATAATTCAATTCTCGCATGCAATTTTTATGAATTCTCCAAATTCTTGAGGATCTATAATGTAGACATTCGGTACGGCATTAGTTTTGAGATCATCATTTGATTGATAACTTTATAAAGCTTATTGACAACAGATATAGGATTGAAACAGTAGGAGACCGGCAAAAGGTCAAAAGTCACTTGAAAGTATTTTTTTTATAGTGGTATGAATTCACTCACATAATAAGACGAATTGTGCGTATTGCTTACGTGTGTCACTACGAAAACAACTGTCACACCAACAAATGCCCGTTTTCTTTCCTCCTCTTTCGATTATTGTTCCATTATTGTGGGTTTTCATTCATGGTTGAGATCGATTTACCGAAGGCATGGTAAATTCCACTTTCTAGGAAATTCAAAATTGGCTACACCTCGAATCATGGTACGGAATTTTATATATACGCAATATATGGTTTGATGTGGGATTGGGTTGGGTCAAGTCAAGTCAAGTCAAGAAAAAATATGCATCTATATGTATATATAAAATATATTTAATTTTGGGTTGGGGTGGGAAATTCATTTTCGCTTACAAGTAATTATAGATAATATGTACATTTATTGAGGTTGCAATAGGGTAAACTCAAGTTCGGAATTCAATTTTAGCTGACACCCATAACTTGTCTGCCAGCTTCTGCAAGTACTTGCTGCCTGACATTTGGTCATCCAAGACGCTACCAACACCTATTAATCAAAATCTAGATGTACCGAGCACAACGTTCCCATGCAAACTGAAACCCATCATCGCACCCAGATCCACAAGCCATATCACACCAACACTCTCAACTTCATCTACATACACATTCCACAGATACATCCACACACCGACCCACACATCTACACCCGCATCCTCAAGAGTCCTTCCGCGGCACCCACACTAAGGCATGTGGTGTCTGAGTATTCTTTCTCAGAACTTGATTTAAAAGCCTCTTGTGTTATGCGCTATCTGCTAGATATTGTTAGTCGCTGATGGTCCGTTGTACTGTTTTGTGATCCCTGTTGGTCTCTGGTATCTTTCGAATATGAAAAAGGATAAACATAATCATAGTCCTTCGTAGTCCCCGGTTACTATTTTTGATTGTTCCGGATTTTTTTGTAATTCATATCCGTCATCGAATGCCCACACCCACACCCTAATGAAGCTTTTGAAAACAGTATGTAATAACATAAATTTTCTGACCCAACCTAATCCACTCCCGATGGATATAGATATATATATATACAAATAAAAATGAATTTCCCAACCCAATCCAACCCAACCCGCTACTAATTTGGAACCTCAACCTCATTTTTACTTCTCTTTATAAAAAGACAACTAGTATGTGATTACTTTTAAAAGCATTCAATTGAATTTCCAGGAAATTTTTCTTATTGGAATTTCATTTCAATTTCCTGGTAATCGGAATTTACCATCGCATGGATTTACCATAACATTTTTTTCCTTCATCCACTAGATTCTTATTCTAATTGATATTGTTGTTTTTTCATTGTATTTGCTACTTCTGCTAGTCAAACGCTCACATTCATAAATTACTGTATTCATAGTAAAGCAGCAATATAAAACTGATATAAACTTACCCGAATTTGTCTCCGATGAACTTGCTCGTTATAACATTTTAGATCTTAAAACATTATCATTCGGAAGGTTATATTGTTACTGAGCTGCAACTGAATAAATCAACGGTAAATTATTTTTTTATTTCAGGCCATCGACATTTTATTCTTCTGCATGTATTGAGTTTTTGTATCGTTCCCAGACTAGCATATCTAGCAGAAGTACTGGTCATAGACCTCAACATTATCTTAAACTATTAGTTGATTGCACCATTATCGCAATACATCAACCTAATGATCTGAAACAATGTAAAGCGTATTTATCATTACAAAAGTTCAACAAATTATCGATTTCAAGTACAGGTAGCCTGTGATTTCCATCATAAAATTATTCATGTGTCTCAGTGCAACCATAGTAGTGTGCACAATCTCACAATATTGGGAGAATCAGAATTATTAATGCATACCGGAAAAGATGTTCAAACTATTGGTGATAAGGGTTACATCGATGAAAAACACGTAATTAATCCAAGAAAAAAATCTGGAAGAGGTGTATTGATAGCGGTAAATAACCTTTACAACAAAAATATTTCTAGTGCAAGAGTTGCTATTGAAAACGTCAATCAACGTATCAAAACTTATGCTATTTTAGACCGTATCTATAGAGAATCTTTCGATGACGTTGAGAAGATAACGAAAATTGCACATATTGTTTGCGCTTTGTCTAATTTTAATTGGATGATATCTCTGATTCGTAGAAACACCAAGTGATATGCTGATCCAGTTTTTAAGCTAACTTGTTGCTGATAAAACTCGTTTGCTAATACTTCATATTATTTCCGATGCTCTAAGTCAGAATTGAAATATAGAAACAAAGTCTGAACGAAATATCTTAAACTATATGATGTCAAGAAAAGACTTGAGACACATTGCTTCTGTCACGATGTAGGACTCAAAAGGTAGATATTTATTAGCTCTACTTATGAACTACATCTGTTAAAAAAATTATACTACATTGATATACTATGTAAGTTTTAGAAAGAAAACAATATTGGAGCATCTCTCAATTGGAAACTTCCATATATAGAAAATAACAGAAGACTATTATTGATATTTTAATAGCTATTTTCTTACAATTTAAGCGAGCTCATATACAAAATATACTTATATTGATATTTTACAATAATAAGAGATAAATTATTTAACATATCGTTCTGATGTAATGCATTCAGTAATACAAGTCCATTAAAAGGATCTTTAAAGACATACACGAAGAGTCATAAGAATAATAGTTCACCTGCATAGGCGGCGAGAAAGTCTGTTTTTGTAACTATTTCTCTCGTATATTCTCAAACAATCATCGACTGGTCAAATACTAAATGATATAAATCCAAGAAATTTTTCAGTATCAATATCACTATTACACAATAACATTACTTCAAATCATTGCTCATTTGGAGCAATCTTGTCGCTTGAGAATATCACCAACGGATGCAGTATTGTAATTAAATGTAAAGGTCTTCTTTTACTAAGTTGCACTACTCTCGCACATTTTACTGCATCATTGATTGGGAGTAAATTATAAGATAGATTCGTATTTGCATGGCAATTCATTCTGCTATTCTATCGATATCCAAATAAAAAGGAAAGCAAAGAATTCTCTCACTTATGGAAGTATAATTAATGAGACAATAAGTCACTATTTTCTTGATCATAAGTAGTTAGATAGTGCTAAAAATTCGATCTAGGCTAGCTATATTATGACACATCAAAATGAGCTAAATATTTGGATTTGATGGTTTCAGATGATAGCCTTTTTAATGCATATAAAAAATGCAAAAGTTTTAATTTTAAGCATTATCTCGGTTCCTTAACAGTGTCATGGGTTCTCTCTTAAGTATTATTGTACGTTATATGAATGTTTTAATTACGAAATAATTTTGTAGTCTTTAATTGAAGTTAGATATATTATTATTTCGTTGAGTATGATAATCAATTTCTTTCTTGTCTTCACAAATTGTATCCTAAATTTCTTGTGGTATTCAAGATAAATACTTATATTTTAGGTTTATCATTTTCTAATATGTTTTATTGATTCATATCTTTTCATTTATTCAGAAATTATATAGAAAAAAAACGATGATCTAGAAATCAAACAACACCTATGAAATCATCATACATTTGACTTTTCACTTGAAAAAAAACTTATTTATTAGTTTTTCTTTGCAATAAAATATTCATGTATATATGTTTATAATAGAATTAATAATTAAACAAGAGCCGTTGTAATTGGAACTCCTATCGTAAGTTCTTTGATTATAAAAATTTACTTATTTATTTATTTTTAAAAAATCAAATATTACTGTTAATGAAGCAAGAGTCCTTGAATGGTTTTCGTCAGAAAAAAAATTAAGTACTATAAAACAAACTCATGTTGTTTTGGTCACAATAACCGTTGTATACATTAAAAAAAATTACACAGTTCTTATTATTTGTTTTTTTGCTTGCTGCGATCGAGACAAATCGTTATTTTATCCCCACTCATTTTCTTATTTGTTTTTGAAGGAAAACAATCAAGTTCTGTAAATAGACGCCACAAGCAAAAAGTCATTTAACTTATTTTTTTTTAATGTTGCGCATACCTTTCTTAGGATAAATAATTGAAAGAAATCATTCTAAAGAATTATTTTTAGAAGAAAGATAGATCATCATTAATGTTATATTACTACAATAGAGTATTTTATCAAGTTTATTTTTCATTTCTTTTGTGTGTGTTTTCTTTTTAATTAACCATTCTTTTCTTCTTCTATTGTTATTGATATAGAGAACTCTTCTTTCAATAATAAAAAAAAGAATAAATTTCTTTGATTATACATTCAAAATAAATTCATCCAGCCATTGTATTTTTCCAATTGTTCCATTTTCATAAAAGTTCAAAGGTGTCCAAAATTGTGGTTCATGACCTTTTATTCCATCAGGTGCTTGTTGCCATCTCAAAACAAAAACAAGTCAATTCATACAATAAAAATTCTACTTCTATTCTACAACTTTACCTATCACCAGTCCAAAGATATGTTGTATAACCAGTTGAATTCGTGACTTTAATAATATAATTTTGTTGAGATCGAACGATTGATGTTGTGTTTATATTATGATATTCACAACCTTGATTAGGTGTTGGTAAACCATTTATTGATGTTAAGTGTACTTTAGTCAAAGAATAATCACTTTTTGTCACACAAGCAAGATCACCTCCGGCCTATAAAAACAATCCAAATTTTCTCTACATCGTCGAAAAGCAAAAAAAAAACAAAATGATACCTGAAGTGTATAAGGTCCCAGGGGGTTATTTGCTCTATGAACTAAAACACCACTACCTTGCATACAATAACAACAACACCAACCGAATAATATATAATAAATATTATTTTTTTTCATAAATATTGGTGCTTCAACAAAATATTCTTCAAACATATAAGATTTTCCCGTTGAATAATAAAAATCAGGTGTTAATTGTTCCACACTCATATAATAATTTTGAGAATAAACTATATAACCGGTTCCATCGTCATTAACAAGTATATCAAAATCGCCTAGAAAATTAAATAGATTAATTAAATGAATGAAAACAATAATATATACTTTACCTCCACCACCTCGAGAAACATTCAAAGAAGGATTTACTAATCTGAATGGTCCACTATAAATAAATAGAAACATTTCACCAAGAATTATACAATAGTGATATATGTGTTAACAGGTAATTTACCTTGGTGTTTCAGCTATAGTAACTGCATATAAACTAGGTAGATTCCATCTCATGTAATTCCAAATAAGAACATATAATTTTGTATTTGGATTGTATACAAGATGTGGACGAAAAACTACACCTATGAAAATATAACAATAGTAATGAAAAATAATATATCATATGAAGAATAATACCTGCCGGTCGATCAGCCACGGTAATGGCATTACCTACATATGACCATGATCCAGAGGTCAAATTTGGTGAAGACCATATGGTGATATTATGATTCATTTGAAAGCCACATTTACTTGACATTCCAGCCTAAATTTATATAAAATTTCTTTTATGTGAAGTTGTCTCTGTTCTATTCTTTTTTATTGTTTAAATGTAAACTAACTCCATCACATCCATATTTCGGTGGTTCTTCACAAAGACCATATTGCATTGCATGCATATAATAAAGACGATTTTTTTTAAACTGTTGAATACTACCATCATGAGCATCCATAATTACACCGTTAATATCCAAACGTGGTCGAAGATTATTAATTGTAACTTGAACTGCATGAATGAATAATGGAAAAAGAAAAAAATAGAATAAATTATTGAAAATTTTTTTCATATTGTTGATTATGAAATTAACCCTAGATAAAAAGAGAAACCAACTAATGCTTTATTGTTATTCCTGAGATTTCGACCATCTGTACTATACTAAATATGCTTAACAAAAGACAAAGAAAAGATAAAAACAGAATACCGATTTGATGAATCATACATACATTCTGCCTTAGTTAATTCTTCAGTCATCAAAAATATTTTCTGTTTATGTTAAATAACATTACTCTCCGTACTGATGCTTTTGCCATCAATGCAACCTTTTTTGTTTTATTAACAAACAAAAAATTAATAAGCCAACATCTTGTCAACAACCATAAAAAGTTCCTCGTTGTACCTGAAGAAAGAAGAAAAAATATTTTCTTTATATTCCACACTTCAATAGTAATAATCAACTGATCGTGATGCTGAATATTTCAAAGGCTTGTCAATAAAAAAAAAAATTTTTGTCATGTGTATATGACCGACTTATATCATACATGTGAAAATTGTATGAATATGTTTACAACGAAACCTATACAAAATTTGATTGCCAAAAAAAACCAATCGATCACACAGAACAACATTTTTATTTCATGCATATACTTATATTTACATATTTATAACATTACACATCTGAACGAATAAAAATTGTTCTCATATCATGCCTGTGAATTTTCCAGTAAAAACAGATGAAGATGCTAATGATTTAACAGCTCCTTATAATGAACTCGAAGCATTTGATTCCATATGGGATGCATTAAGATGGAAACATGTACAACAGAGAGTACCTATATGTTTCAAAAGGACTTTATACAATCGATATATGTTAGCTAATTTGGTTTATTTGGGTTATACAATTGCACTTCTAGTCATTGATTTCTATCCAGGTTTTAATTCCAACTCTTCTAATGGTTCTACAACAACCGAAGAATCTAATGATACAATATCAATTCTTGATCAGCCTGTAATTATGAATGAATATGTTAATCGACTCTATATCGGTAAACATTTATTCTTTTATACTGATTGAAGTAAAACAGTTGTTTTCTTTTGGTTTTTGTTTCGAAGGTCTAGCTGCAGTCAATATTTTAGTAGCTTTTCTTTATATCATAGCATGGCGTGGTCGATCATGGTTTGATGTTGTTTTAGTTCCAGAATATTTAAATCATATACAAGCAGGACTCTATCTCTGGTCAGCATTATGGTATTCGAAACAAACTACTCTTGGTGGTTATTATACTATGGCTGTACATAGAATTGAGCTAACTGCATCATGTACTGAAATATGTGCTGCTATAGGCTGGTAAACTATTTAAATATAAATTTAAAAAAAAAGCATTGTTGATGTTTATAGGATGATTTCATGGTATATGACATATACACGTACAATAGGTCGTGGTTTTACTTTTGATGATCCTGATACAATGGGTTATTTAACAACGACAACTAATACATTGATATATCTCGTGTATAATATTCAACTGAATATTTATCCTGAACAATATGGAACTAATCTAATATATATATATGCAGATGTTCTTGGATTCATTGGTTCTGTTTATTATATACTCGGTACTTTACGTGATGAAAATTGGTTTTGGTTTCTTCCGCTAGCTGGACAATATGGTATAGCAGCAGGTAGAATTCATATAGAAACACGAGTTTTACCACAATTTGGACGTCCTGAAATATTGATTACGGATGTATGTAGACGGAGAAAAGAAAAAACCAAAGATAATAAAGAAAATGAGAACAATACGAATATGGATATTGTTACAGAATATTTTTAATAACGGCATTTTTCACATTGATTTTAAACAAAGAATATATATATTTTTCCAAATGAACAGTAAATTTAGTATAAAATAATCTATACTTCGGTGATTGATACGAATTCTAAGGTGTAAAATATCTTTGAATTTAAATCATCTTATATTTATTTTTTTGTTTGTCATAGTAAATAATATTAAAATAAAATACTCTTCGTCATATATGCATATTTGTTTAGCTCATCTAATTAACCGTTTACCTCTTAACACTAATTCAGTAGAGTTTGTGTTGAGTCAATCATGAAAAAAACTTTATACAGGTATTAATTATGACAGTGACATAGTTAAATATGAGTATATAACAGAAATTTACTGTGAATTATTTTTTTGAATAATAATTCATTATGGGAGATTATATTTTGTGAAATATTTACAAATATGTCTTTTTACGATCGAAATTAGGTCTTTTATTTCTAAGATCATATCAAAATCGTTAATCTTCATTTTATTTTTATAATATAAAATCATTGGTTCTGATTCCTATTTGAAATCACCCGTTCTTATTGCTTAAATCTCGTTTTTGATGGAAGGACATAATAAAAGGTGCAATTTTCTATCTTTTATTGATAATAAATTATTAAAAAAATAACTGTACAATCCTTTTTGACTGACTATTAGTTTTAATAAAGTCTCAAACATGAAGATCGTATTTTTTATGAGTTTATATTGCAAAACAAAAATAACTCGAGAAAAATCAATTTTCATGTTATTTATTCACTGCGAATGGATCAAAAATAACCTAAGGTATCAGGAAAAATTCTGCTCTCACATCTTCCATAAATAAATTTTTAAAAATCACTCTACAAATATATTATATCCATAGTAGTATATGTCAACCTGAAAACATCAGAATAACCAGTCTGTATAACTAAATGAAAAAAAAAACGAGTTGTTTACGAATTTCTAGCTCTTTAAGGTTCTGCATAATGTTGAAGAACCGTCTCAACCATTATTACTCAAAATAGATGGTTTTCTTTTTTAAATAGGTCGAGAATGGTCTAACATAGGGAAAATCATTACTATGATATTTCTGTAAATATTCTATTCACTGAACATTTCATAATCTATATCAAACTTCATCTATGAATTGAAAAGAAAATAGTTGTCGATTTGATTATCATTTTCAAAACTATTTCATCACTATCAACAAGTGCTTAAAGAAAAAAAAAAGAAACTTTACGGTAGACCTAGTAAATATTTTAGTTTACTTCGCATTAAAAAACATATGATGGTCAGACATGCTTGTTACATAAAACGAAATTCCATAATTATATGGTCATCAATTGTTTCATACATATAGATATGTTGATTGTTTTGTGATGCATACCGCCCAACATACGAATCATTTTTTTTTATTGGTGCACATAATAAAACATTTTTTAATGTTTTGTACATATATAGGTGAGACATATGCTCATTGAAGCGAATGAAATTTTTTTTTCATCATGTTTCCTGTCAGTTTACAAGTAAAAACTAATGAAGACAATCATAATTTAAGAACTCCTTATAATGAAATTCAAGCGTTTAATTCTATATGGGAGGCATTAAGATGGAAACATGTACGACAGAGAATACCTGTATGTTTCAAAAAGTCCCTACACAATCGATACATGTTAGCTAATTTGATTTATTTGGGTTATTCAATTACACTTCTATTCATTGATTTTTATCCAGGTTTTAGTACAACATCGTCTGATACTTATACAGAACTGAAGGTATCTAATGACTCAATATCAATTTTTGATCAACCAATAGTCATAAATGAATATGTCAATCAACTCTGCATAGGTAAATAATGATTCATTTTTGTTTTCAATATTCATGTTTCCTTTTTTTTTTGTTTTTCAGGTCTAGCTGCTATTAATATCTTAGTTGCTTTTCTTAATGTTTGAGCATGGCGTGATCGATCATGGCTTGATATTGTCTTAATACCAGAGTATATGAACCATACACAAGCAGGACTTTATCTCTGGTCAGCATTATGGCATTCGAAACAAACTACTCTTGGTGGTTATTATACTATGGCTGTACATAAAATTGAACTGTATGCATCTTGTATTGAATTATGTACTGCAGTTGGATGGTAAGTATAAAGAATTTATAGAAAAAAATTAATTGTTAGTGTTTATATAGGATGATTTCATGGTATATGACATATACACGTACAATAGGTTGTGGTTTTACTTTTGATGATCCTGATACAATGGGTTATTTAACAACAACGTCAAATACATTTATATATTTTTTTTATAATTTGCAGATATACATTCATCCCGAACAATATGGAACTAATCTATTATATATTTGCTGCATTACGTGATGATAGTTGGTTTTGGTTTCTTTCATTGGCTGGACAATATGGTGTAGCATCAGGTAGAGTTCGAATAGAAACAAAAGAATTACCAAAATATGGATTAACCAATGTGCTTATTATGGATATATGTAAAAACAGAAAAGAGAACAGTCAACAGTCTAATGAGAATATAAATAATGATATAGTTAGAATATATCTTTAATTGTTTTTGTTTTTCTAGAACAATTTTTATTTATTTTTTTTAGCTTAATAAAAAAAAATAAAATGTCAATCAATAATATATAAATGACTAAAGTATTTCTATTGATACGAAAATTATTTCGATAAAAATGATTCAGAAAGACGTTACCATTATAATATCCTGATGTAAGATTTTTTCATAAATTATACTAAAACATAGAGAATTAAAAACTGAATACAATTAATTATTTCAATATAATATGATGATGATCAATTCAAGTTTGACAAGGCAAACATGAATGAAAACTGACTGTTTCGATTAGTGTAAAATGTTCATTTAATAGCCATTGATCTTTTGTCGGAATTCAAAATCAGAGAGTTTTAAGCTGAATTTAATATATGTTTGACAACTTTTATTCTCTATTATAAAACAAAATAAATGTGACATTAGTAGTTCCCGTCAAAAGCTCCATTGTATCAAATATATTTTATAGGAATATTTTCTACTATGAAAAACTGAGCACAGGCTTCATGGGACAATAGATAATCTTTTCGGAGGAAGAAAATTCTCTAGAATATATTTGATTCAATGTATTTATTGACAGTGATTTCAAATATTATATTTATTCTGCTTTAAAATTGTGTTATGGCAATGAGAACTGCTAAAATTCTTCTTTTAATCGCTTAAAAAAAATCACTATGTAGAAGAGAATAGTGAACTGCATCGGTCGTCTAAATATGATTTATTTTTTTAACATGTTGTAAAGAAAAAGATCTATTATTATCAAATGGCCATCTTAGACTCATCAAAAGAATCATTTTCTATTCATGTTGACCTTATCAAACTTCAATCAGTCAACACTGTATTGTATTAAAATAACTCATTTGATTCAGTTTATAATTCTCTATCTTTTCATATAATTTATTAAAGATTTGAATGATTTATTGAAACAGAAACAAGCACAACTTTTATAGAATATTTTTTGCTGCATTTTTTCATAAGCATATGATACAGGTGAAAAGTCGGTATTGACTAACTTTGCTAAAATTTTCCAGTTGAACCTATCAGACATCGATGCATTGAATGCACAGGAAAAAAAGAAGAATATTTTTTTATCGAGTGCCTAATATACTCTATGGTCTCATGATTCCTCTAGTACATTATCCTAGCTAATTCAAGTAAAGATTCTCTATATAATATGTATCGGTGCCCTCTATGTATGTTATTATTGATTCGTTAACCACTGTCTATTTCTGTTAGGAAAAGAAATATATTTCTTTCATGTAAACGATGATTACAAATCAAGAATCATCTGTCGCTATGTTAGAGGATAAAGATTTAAATTCACCTATTTATGAATTTCAATCATTTAATTCTATATTGGATGCATTACAATGGAAATATGTGCGTGTTCGAGTACCAAGCTGTTGGAAAAAATTATTATATAGTCGATATATGCTTGCAAATTTAGTTTATTTAATTTATTCTATAGGAATTTTGATTATTAATTTTCATCCTAGTTTTAATGAAAAATCAAGCGATGTATCCTTTCTTCGATCAAAAACTCTTGATCAACCTGTCAATATTAATCCAGATATTAATCGATATTATATTGCACTTGCAGTTTTACACTTAATATCAGCTTTTCTCTATTGGTGGGCATGGCGTGATCGATCATGGCTTGATATTATAATGATACCCGAATATTTAAATCATATTGAAGCTGGACTTTATCTTTGGTCAGCTTTTTGGTATTCAAAACAAGATACTCTTGGCGGTTTCTATACATTAGCCGTACATAGAATCGAAATGGCAGCAACTATTATTGAATTAATTGCTTCATTTGGATGGTAAAAAAGAATTATAATATTTTTTTTTTACAAAAACAAAAAGCAAGTTGCAATTTATTTTCAGGATTTTGTCTTGGTATTTGACTTATACTCGTACATTAGGTCGAGGTTTTACTTTCGATGATCCAGATACTGTTGCGTATTTAACTACAACAATAAGTTCATTTATTTATGTTGTATACAATATAAAAATTAACATATATCCTGAACAATATGGAACAAATATATTATATAAATATGGTGATATACTTTATTTTATTGGTGCTTGGTATTATATATTTGCTGGATTACGTGATGAGAATTGTTTTTGGTTTTTACCATTAGCTGGACAATATGGTGTAGCAGCGGGTAGTGTTCGAGTAGAAACAAAAGAATTACCAAAATATGGAAAATCGCCTGTTTTGATTACGGATCTATGTAAACGCCGACAACATGAACAGTTTAATAATAGCAATGAATTGAATATGGCTAATCCTACGGCAACATCTTCTATTTGAGAATCTTGTTTTCTTTATTATGTTTTTTTTTTAATAATATTTAGTCAATATTTATGTTATTGATCGAATGCTTCATAGAATATAATTGTTTTTCATTTTATTGAAAGAAAGTATTTGTGTATTTTACTTTTGAAATAGATTATTATTCAGTAATCAACATAGATACCTCAGATTTCTTTTTGTATTCGTTTTTATTGAATTCTACAAAGATTACTCTTGTGTACGTCATATTTATTCATGAAACAGTCAACTGATGAACAACAGGCTTTAAATGTTAAACTTGTTGAGATGTTTCTCCATGCAAACAATGAAAGAGGCTTGATTGTATCGTACTAAAATAGTGTCCTGCAACTTGCTCTGACACTAAGCATGTAGCTAAGTGTCGAACATTAAAAAGATCTTTCAAAGGTAATTAATGAGATCTCAGCGTTTCAAAATATTTTTACTTTTTCAAACTGCTAATTTACATAAAAGTATGGACATGGAAACCTGAGTAATTTATTGTACTTGGAAACAGATGACAGAAGTGAAAAGCAAACTGTTTTACAAAAGAATGAACTATCAAAAAGATAAATACGTTTTATTGTGATGAAAAAAAAAACAATCATGTGTATATCTATAATTATGACGTTTGGCATCAACATGACATTCCATTCCAGCTTCATCAGCAACAAATAAATGTATACTTAGTGAAATTGGTCATATTTTAGGATTAGAAAGAAACCAAGTAAATCTTGTCTCATTTTCTTTTTTGTGGAATTTGAGATAATTCTGTATGGATTGTGATAATAACTTTAAATAAGTGTAAGCAGTTAGATTTAGTTTTCAATTTGATTTTTATTCATTTATTAAATGCATCATAGTTTTATTTATCGATTGATTACTTTATATTAATACATTCAAAGAGTGAACTTCGAATAAAAACATTATTCTAACATTTCAAAACATAAGTTCTGCTTCAAAAATTTACAACATCGAATAGACAATGATATTTATTTACTAGATATCAATTGTTTCTATCACTGGAGTCAACAAAACTCCATCTCACACTATGATTCATACATCACACTTGAATATTATCAGCAAGTAAAGTAACAAAAAATGATATATACAGATATATTTTTTTTTCTGCTCTAAATTATGCATGGTTCTCAAAGACAAACTCATGTTTACACAAAAACAATATTAAAAATTGAAAGTTTAATATAATATTAAATAGAAGTGTTAACAATAGAAAAACATTGACTAGTGCCGTGACTAAAATTTTATTTCTATAAAATCCTCATCTGATTCTTCGTCACCTATTAATAAAAGATAAGATAAATATGTTACATTTTTTTTAAAAAGGTATGTAATCATTTATTTTTAGTCATATGTCTCTTCAATCAATTCGTCTATGGTTTCGACTTTTTATTATAAATGATCTTGCAACAATTTTTATTTTATTTATTTGGTTTCTATTAAATATTCTTCTTTTTCTTGTACAATTTTTTAATTATCATCAATCACGTTCATATTTTTATTTACGTATATTGATATACGATGGTATAAGTATTGCACGTGCATCAGCTTTATGTCTTAATTTTAATTGTTTATTAATACTTTTACCTGTTTGTCGTAATTTATTATCATTAATTCGATATATTTTACCACATTGTATAACTCAATCTCGTTTTCGTCGTTTTACAATACGTTTATTTGATCAACATGTAGAATTTCATCGTTGTGTAGGTTATGCTATTTGTTTTTGGTCATTAATACATGTTGGTGCACATGTTTATAATTATGAACGTTTAATTGATGTTCATAATGAACATGAATCACTTATATCTGTACTTAATTTACTTTATTTAAAATCACCACAATCACAAATAAATCCATTTGATAAAATTAGTTCTAATACATTAGGTGTTGGTGCAATGCTTGGTACAACAGCTGGAATTACAGGTGTTATTTTATGTATTTGTTTATTAGTTATTATTAGTTCATCGACAACACTTATTCGTCGATCATACTATGAAATATTTTGGTTTATTCATCATTTTTTTATTGTATTTTTTGTTTGTCTTATGTTACATGGTCTACAAGGTTTAGTTAAATCACAAACAAATATTCAAGAACATAATCCTGATATATGTGCGTCACTCTATCGAGAATGGGGTATTAATGAACAATGTCGTGTTTATCCAAATTTTACTGGTTCAAAACCAGCTAGTTGGATGTGGTTATGTGGTCCACTTGGTCTTTATATTCTTGAACGTCTTCTACGTTTTATACGAAGTTTACAACATGTTGAAATTATTGATGTTATTCGACATGAATCGAATGTTATTGAAATTCGTTTTCGTAAAAAATTAATGATAAAACCACGACCAGGTCAATATATTTATTTAAAATGTTGGTCACTTTCGAAATTTGAATGGCATCCATTTACAGTAACATCAGCAACTGAAGAAAATTATATCAGTATTCATATTCGAACAGTTGGAAATTGGACAAAAGAATTAGCAAAAAAATTTGAAAAATATCCACAAGATATTCCTCGATTAGGCATTGATGGACCTTATGGAAGTCCAGCAGATGATGTTTTCAATTATGATGGTGTTATACTAATTGGTGCTGGTATTGGAGGTACGATATAAAGAAAATCAAAAACTTTTTTTTTTCCATTTTACGCTCTAATCTTTTTTCTTTATAGTAACACCTTATGCTGCAATATTAAAACAAATTCGTTCATCACAAGCAGATCATATACGACTTCGCCGTGTTTATTTCTATTGGATATGTAATACAACATCATGTTATGAATGGTTTGCTGAAATGTTGCAAGAACTTGAACGTGAATTATGTGATCGAATTAATTTTCTTACTTATAATATCTATTTAACACAATGGTCGATCAGTGAAGCACGAGCAGTAATTAAAAATAATAATGATCAATGTGATATATGGACTGGTTTACAAACAAAAACATATTATGGAAAACCAAATTTTGATGTTGATTTTCAATCAATTATAAATGAAGATTGGAAAATAAAAACAAAACGAGATATTGGTGTATTTGTTTGTGGTCCAAATCAATTGGTTAAACAACTTCAACGATTATGTATTAATATAAATGATAGTAGTATATCAAAAAATAAAGTTCACTTTTATTTAAATAAAGAAAACTTTTAACATAAATTCTATAGTTTATTTTATATGTAATAAAAAAAATAATTTCTATCTTTATAATAACAATATAAATTAATTATTGTTATAAGTAATAAATGAAAATTTATTATAGCATCAACAAGAATGAGTAAAAAGCTATAAAAGAAAGAGAAAAGAATTATTTAATAATAAAATTTTAATTAACATCTCCTTTATATCTTTAGATAATTAATAAAAGCTCAACTTCTGGAAGCATTTCGTTTATATTAAAAATAGCTAAAGAAAATGATTACATTTAGTAGAATATATATAAATAGAAGAAGTAGCTGTAATATCGAGTAAAAGGAATATTGAATTAGAAAATTACTGTTAAAATGTAGAAGATAGATAGAAGAAATAGGTCTTCGAAAGGTCATCTCTTTGTTAATTTTTCTTAAAGCAAAACTTCGTTTTTATAACGTATTTTTATGTCACAAATGGAAGAACAGTAAAAATCTTGTAAACTGATGTCAGAGTACAATTTAAAATATATAGTAGCGGCTCGATATCTCTCAACCTAGTTCACCTTAGTTACTGCATGTGCATACTGCAAGTCTGAAAATTTGTGTACACATCTTTTACTAAGATTATGTTTTTATTACGATAAATGTCGTTTATGTTTTACTTCCAGCATTACAATCTAAAAGAATTGCTTACTCAATTTTGAGATGCTTCTTTTCTTGCTTTTAAAGTTTGAGCACGTTTACTTGGACTATCGGTGAGTTATTGATCTCTAAGGACAGTAGATGGTTTTTTGTCAGTACTAATGATCACAGTAAAATAGGGATAGATTTTGAGAGAATTGATGAAATTACTAAGAACTAGAGCTTAGGACATAGCAATATAGAATGAGAAAATCAGCTGATACAAAATGCTCTTCCTTCATAGAATTATCATTGTTGAAAAACAATAGTAAATGCTATCTATCATGACTTTATTTTTGTAATTAACCGATCAAGGTTTCATAATGCTGTTGATCTAAATTCTTGATGATGTATATGTTCATAAGATTTTTACACTTCCGCTACATTCAATGGCTGAGATCTACTTGGACAGAGACTTTTATTCTTTGCTGTATATATTATTTTTAATATTGAAAATATCTAAGACTGATGTCAATTGCTCATGAATATATGTGTCCTATCTCTAGCAACATCTACACAAAATTTTCAGATGATTATACTGGTTCATTCTAATTAATGCTTCTCATCATGCAAAACTTCAATCAGATTTATCTCTTTTTATTCTTTTCTTAGTTTTGAATAAAAAAATGCTAGTAAAATCTTTTCAGATATAGTAATACAAAAAGATAATAAGACTTTATATTGTAAACAACAAGATTTATTAATAGGTCTTACTATCTATGGGTGTCTTCATACTAGCTGAATGGCTTCATGATGAACGAAACATAGTAATTATAAATATTCTAGTACATGTGAGAAGATGACAAAATACTATTATACTTTTATATCTAGTCTCAGTTCATAGATTCTTAATAAAAAATTAAATGAAAAAAAGCAGTTCGACATTCTTGATGTAGAATTCAATCGTATATGACAAAAAAGCCTACTGCTATTCAAATTTCATTGATCGAAACGAGTCATTTTGAAGTAATCTGACTGAAGATAAACTTTGCTTTTTATGCTAGTGTTAAAAAAAGGCAGCAAGAGTTTATTTATCTTAGAAATATTTTATGTTCATTGTTATTTTATAATCCATCAATGATTGATCTCGGTATTTTCTTCTTAAACTCTTGTTATTATGCAATATTTTATAATTTTAAATGAAAGTTCAATAAATACTTGACAGAAGTAACACGTTAGAAGCCATATTTTAAGTATTGCAGTGTTGTATATAAGATAAATATAAAGGATGTTCAAGAAGTTCTGAAACCATATTAATATTCATTATTCTTGCAATTAGTAGATGCAAGCTTTTTGCAATTTTTATAGACAATGTTTCAGGTCTAAAACTTTAACTATGCGCAAGAAACTACAACAACATTATCATGTATTATTTTATCAATTTTTCAATAAGTTGAATTAATAAATTTTCTAAACAATCTCTAAGTTTTATAAACCAATGGTTAGAGTTCATCAGACTATAAGCTGATGATCATCGTAAGAAAATGTATTTTTTTTAATAACATATATATGCGAAATTCATTCTAATTATTGTAAAGTACTTAAAAAGTTAGATCATGTACAAAGTATAATTTTTCATAATGATCGAATTCAAAAACAAAAGATGCAAGTGATGTTGACGATTCTTGAACATATTTTTATCAATTAAATTGAATAGAAAAATTGTAATGCAAAACTAGCTAGTGTGTAGTCTATAGAAAACATTTACGATATATGAAAAGAAAAGTGAGGGTACAGACATGATTTTCACTCATATCCGCATCCAATTTTAAATCATAGATTGAACTTATTGGGAATGATTACTTAATCTTACTTATTGTAAAAAGAAGGCAATAGTTTTTTTTTCTGCACGCAAAGCTTTAGTATCCCTCCCCCCGCCCTTCCGCAATAGAAGACCTCGGATTTTCTATTGTGTTCCATTTATTTGCATAATTTTTAATTAAAAGGGTTTTTCAGAAAACTAAAATGATTTTGAGGAACAAGAAGGATATTTTTAGGGCTTTAATACTCGAAAAATAATGTTGACATCAGTCTTTTAAGATTATCAAGTGAAATCCCTTAAAACCAGGCATATTTTGATGTAAATATAGTAATTAAAGTTCCAATTTTCTGAGAAATTAATTAATTAAGTAGGGGAAAGATCTGTTACTACGTCTGATACATCGTTCCTTGAAGGAAGTTTTCTATAATGGAGAAGGGAGAAGATAACATAGTTATTAGCCACAAGCTAAGTTGAATGAATATGGTTGTCTATGGAGAAACAGCATTTGAAAGGTAAATTCAGAATAGTTTTTTGGCTATTTCGAAAAATATTTTTGTACCTTGTCACACAAGGAAGAGTGTTACCGAGCTAAGAAGAAATAATTCATACAGCATGACTTGACATGTGTACGTCCACCAATATTCTTTTCTCAATTCTAATTGAGCTCTTTTTTGATAACAACATGAAAAGTCGAAAAGACATTTTATTTATCGCACATCGTGATAGTACTAAATACTTTCTTATTTGAAAAATGTTAGTTAGGCTTTATAACCATGAAAAAAAAGCTTTGTATAGAAACCCTAAAGAATTTCTTCAGAGTGTACCATAAAAGATCACTGTAGTGATTGCACAACATTTTTTTAATAAAGAGACGCATTTTTCAATAAACTATTATTTTGTCAATATGAGATTGATTTCGTCTGAAAAAAAAGGTTTCTTTCTTTATTTCGATCATTGGTCATTGTTGATAATGATATTTTACAGATTTTCGTGCAATCGTATAAGCTTTCTTCTGTAAATTATTGAAAAAAAATGATCTGTCAAACGATTTCAATAGAATATTTTCTGTCATAATTCTGTACATCATTATTTACAATATTGAAAAAACTTATCAAGTACGCAAAGCATTTAATTCTGGTATATTTTTTTGCAAAATTTTATGTGTTTTATCGACTTCAATGATTTTTGTAGCTCTATCAGAATGTGGTAAAACTAATATATCGTAAAATTGTTAGATTTTAACTCTAATGCAATATTTATTTGACATATTTCTTGATAGTTTTCGTTTAGCTGTTAGAGGTGACTCAAATGTGATCATTATTCAAACTTTTTTCATCGTGTGACATTGATAGGTAAAGATATTTTATCAGCAATATGTTTAATATGACTTCAAGGAACAGAAGATTTTATGTTAAAAAGAAAATATAAATCTTTTGAATTGCTATACGCTTATCCACATTTTTTTCTGGATTAGACGTTTGATAAATCCTGCATTAATAATTGACATACATAAGAAGAATTCAATTTAAAGTAAAAATAAGAACAAGTTCTTAGTGAATATTTCAAGGCAACACTGACATATTTTCTTTTGACCCTAGAAAAGACAAAATATAGTTTAGCAAAAGAAACAGTCTGGCTATATTTTTTTTTCATTAAAAAGTTAATAATATTCATGTAGGTATTCAGCAACAAAAAAGATGTTTTTCTTGTTTCATAAGTTTTTTTTTCTTAACTTGTCATAAAAAAAAGAACAAATTTTTTCATGGAATCGAACGTCAGCAATCATTCATTTGATACAAAGGAATATAGCAATAATTTAACAATGTTTTCATTAGAAAAAAGAGTCAAATTCTTTCTACTTGTTATCTTACAAGCACCTTCTGTTGGTTGTACACTTCTTACGTAAGGTTTTAAAAAAAAACTAAATAATAACTAAATTCAACGATGAATATATTTTATAGTTTATATCATTTCAATTGGAGTCGTTTACAAAGTCAAATCTATGGTCTTCTTCTTATAATTAATGCACTTATCATGGCTGTTGAACTTCCATTTACACTTTATTTTCTTTATAAAGGAAATATTTATACAGAAAAAATATGCACAACTTGGATTATTCTCAATTATTCACTTTTTCTTTTAAGCATTTTTCTAATGGCATGGACATCTATTGAACGTTATCTATTTATTTATCATGAAAGATTCATCATGCGACACAGTATATTACTTCATTATATACCCAATACATTGATTATCTTTTATTGTCCACTCTTTTATATAGGTGTTGTGATATTTCATACGTGTCAAACAGCTTATAATATAAACCAATTTCTTTGTGGTGGTGCTTGTTATCAATTTGAACCTACTCTAGGTTTACTCGACTGGATTGGAAATGGAATATGTGGGGTAATGATTACTTTTACACTCAGTATTGTGTTGATTATACGGCATTTTATAACACGTCATCGAATGAAAAATGTTATTACAGTAGCTAAACGTTCAGAATGGGTAAGAAATCACAATTCTTCTCTGAAAGATATTCTTCTATCTAATTTTCTTTCGAATATATTGTACTATGTCAAATATAAAGAATGTTTCAAATAAATTTTCTATTTTTCAGTTGTTTGCTTTTTTTTTTATTGTAGCGCCGCTCACTAAAATTAAGTTTGCAACTTCTTGCAATTGCTATGCCTTATATGATTGCTTGGATTCCTTATTCAACAATTGTACTTGTTCAAATTTTTCAAAATACTCAAGAACTTACTTATATTCTATCAGAATTTATTGTCTATTTACCTTATCTACAGGCATTAGTATTACCATATGTTTGTATTTTATTTATACCTGAAATAAAAAGAAAAGTTTTTACTACATTAAATATACCATGTCGTCAGCATCGTCGAATTGAAGCTATTGTATAACAAGCCTATATGGTGACACTTCGAGATGGAATTAACACTATCGTCTTTCGAATTGAACATTACCAAACAATAATTGATTGGAATATTTTGCAGAAATTTTAAACTCTCGTCAGCAAAAAAGATCCGATATTCATTGTAGTACACATGACACATTTTCTTTTGTTTATCTGTTTTGTTATTATATGTGAATAATGTTGTATAAGTTGCCTTGTTGATTCGCCAGAAAGAATTTGTAGAAACAACGCCGAAAGCAGTTCAATAAATTATATTTGAATACGTGAATTATTTCACGCGTACAAGTCATAAGCAGCAAAGTTCAAAAATATGCAGATCAAAACAAAAAAATTTCATATATCTTTTAGTTTAATACGTATTAACCTAAAGTCTCACGTTAGAACTCAACAAGGTTCTATTTATCATTGCTAATTAAACGAGCTATAATGATTAAGAATAAGAATAAATTAATAGACAAAATGAACTATATTCTCAATTTATCATTACCATCAGTTAAGAAGAATACTTGTCTACATACGGAAATTGATTGAATATATTTTAGTTATAATTGTACGAATTTCTCTCATTAATACAAAAGAAAAATAAATCTCATTCTATAGATTACATAAAAAAGAGAAGTTATACTGATGACAATAACAGATTGTTATTTATGACTCATTTGAATTTAGAATAATTTTACGTTATCGGCGGCTAAATATAAATAAATGATAAGATCAAACTCTGAAAAATACTATCAAATGAGACGATACTATAGACATACAATAATAAGAATGCACTTTTTTAATTTACAAGCTAACAGCGAAGAATGACATAAAGACAGGAATTGATGTGAGAGTGAACATAAGGTATATGGCATCATTTTGACCTTTTTTTCTAATTAGTTTTTCATTGCTCGTAGGTCCCAATATTTTCTCACGAAAATAATATTTTTTACATAGCCGGTTTCATTATTTTTCAATTTTTTTTACAATAAAAATAAATGAAATATTGTAAAAATATTTCATGTCAAAATAAAAAATATTGTCCTTCTCTATATCGACAACATCCATCCACTAATGGATCTAGTCCATACTGCGGAATAAAACAGTGAGAATGAAAGTATTAAAAAATGTCAGGGTGAGGTTGTCGTGGGCTTCGAATAGTATATACACTTTCTTGACAAATAATAATATGAAATGAATGTTGATGGTAAGAAATACTCTCACCCATTTCAAATACTCAATTATATTATTATTTGATTTATTTATTCAACAAAAATATGTGAACATTGATTGCAATCTCATGCACTAGCCATTCTAAGAATTATGTAGTAATCAAGAAGAGATTTATGTATAGAATTAATAACAAGTTGCTGTTTGTCCAATTATAATGCGTCAATTGTATATATGCGACGCATTAAATATTATTTGTTCTATTTATATTGCTGTTTTTTTTTGAGTAAATGATTGTGGATTTTTAGTAGTCCAAAATTTTAAGTCGGTGTATGTATGTATTTCACTAAGGAAAAATACAAACACTAATGCATCCATAAATCATCATTTATGTCGCAAATGAGATCGAAATATGATGCGATTGCTTTTAAACGAGCTGTCGATATATGTATATAATACCTATAATACAGATAAAAATTGTGTGCATATACAAAACAATCGCTCAATGAATAGTAAAATATTATGAATGACGACACAATGAATCATTGTCTTTTTATTTTAACTGACTTTATTTTATTGTATCGTACTGATGATAGTGTCTTATTTGAAATTTATATGACAAAATCAATATCGTTTCGACTAAAATTTGATTATAATAATGATATGTAAATCAATTCGAATACATCGAATAGATTAACTTATCAAAAAAACAAGGCTAGGGCGGCACGACTGTCAGGCAAGTGTTCACCAGTCACACTTAGTTGTCATTGGAGAAATATTTTTCATCAAGATAACAAATATAAATATTATACTCGTCACATTGAGATTCGTGAAGTTTTGACTGTGATCGATTTACTAACAGGATAATGTTTAATCAACATTGTTTACGATTTAATTTATAAATTTAACAAGTGTGTATCAAAAAGAAGCAAAAAAAATACGAAGAATATTTCATAAGAAAATAAGTCTGCTAACTATTAAATCTATTCTATTTACTCTCATTGTTTGATGTACATCTCAAATACATAACTAGTTAGCACTTGTCAACTGTATGAAATCTTGTTCACAGTTGAAAAGAACTGGTTCAATAGTCGACGAAATAAATATTCTGATTATATTCAAATGAAATTTTAAAGGAAACTCTTATAAGAATTATGCTGGGATATTTGATAGTTCTTGCTATTGTGAAGATATTTTACACGACAATCAAGAGTTATGTGTATACAAAATATGGAGACTTTCCTTTTATATCATATGACTCAATACTCACATCTACCTCATGGGAATATAGATTTTTAAAAAAATGTTCTCCATGAAAAATGAAATGGATATAACTTCTAATGTACATATTGAACAAATGATGTCTCTCAGAAACTTCATATATTTGAAACTATCTACAATGAACTTGAGAATATTTTTACCAGTAAAAAATTTTATTTTTTATATTATGAAATTCAAATAAAACAAAATTTTTTTTTGTACTCTAAAATAACGTTTATTATATATACATTTTAATAAGCAAGTGTTTTTCTAGTCGATATATTACATGTAGCGTCATGCTTTCATACTTAGATTGTTTAAAAAGTTATAAACATCATCACGTCCCATTTAAATACTACTCATGCATTACTAACATGTTATGGAATACCAGCATATTTAATCTTTGTCAATATTAGTTTATTTTTTAAATATAAATATTTGTTTCAATCAGGTTAGTACTGCAATTCAAGTTCATTATATCGTTTATCAATGACAGTATGTTATTTTTTTGTCTTATTTTTGGTTCTATACGTCATTTAACAACTTTTCTTATGATGTGTAAATTACAATATTCTTTTCGTTGCATAACTTATCAAATAATGCTTTCATTTATGATATTCGCACCTATTGCTCTCTTTTTTGACATATTAATCATGAATAACATACATATGCAGTTCGGAAAATAAAGAAATACATGAGAGAAAAATCTGGTATATTTTTGTAGAAGAGAAACAAAAAATTGGAGTCAACTAAATGTTTCACTAATAAATCAGATTTAGCGCAAAAAGTTTTTTTAAACTATAAATTGTATTCTTTGACATGTACTATATAAATTGATATCTATTGGAGACCTATATTCATGAGCAAAAAGTCGAAATTAATCTTGACTCCGACTTTTCTCCATTTCTGCGAAGTCCTGAAGAAACATGCATCAACCCTTCAAAATATATCTGTTTGTACAATGAATATAAACAAATAAAACTTACCATTCAAAAAGAAAAACCTATAGTTTTCAACTTAATTTGCTAGTAGGCTATTTATAAAGGTTCAACTACTTCTAAAAATAATTCCGATATAGATCTCTAACATATTGTAGTAAAAAAACATATCATTTTCTTTTCTGACATAAAATTTTGTTTTACGCACATCATGTGTTATTCATAATTAATATATTAAGCGATGCAATGAAGCCTGTACTGTTTCTTAACATAATAATTATCGAAAAAAAAATCAAAATGCAATAGTTTTAAGCAAGAAAAAAAAACCCGGTAGATGCAATTGAAATGCACTACAAATCGTGTGTTACGCTCTTTTGCCTTTTACTATGCATATTTATTTCAGTTTTATGAACGATGAATAATTTTCATTTTCTTATCTATTTAATTTGTCTATTAATATCTATTGATATTTCTTCAGCTTTTGATAATGAAAACATATAGTCATTTGATTCTATAGAATTCAAAAACACATACATCATCGTATTTAATCATTTGGCATATTATTGAAATTGGGAGTTAGATTTCAATGTCTATCTTTTATATATATATACAAGAGTTGATATAATTATAAACAATATGTAACTCAATAATTTTCATTCATTTAAGATTTATATAATCATATGAAAAATCTTTGGAAATGAATTTAAAAATTCAGTGATATTTATATATAAATGAAACACATATATATGTACATATATCAAGATAGTCAACTGAAGAAAAATATATCGATTCATAAAACAACAGGCGTCAACATTTTAGAAAAATCAATCAACCGAAACGAAATCATAAATTATGTTTTTTTTTTATTATAATTATATCTGTCATAAAAAAAAAAAGGAAAAGAAAAAACATAATCTTTAAATAAAAATAAAATAAATATGCATTTGAATCAATAAATAGATATTTAAATGGTTTTTTTTTCTTTCTTGAGATAATAATTTTATGATTCAATCCGTTAAATAATCATTTAAGTAAATTATATTTTAATATTTTTATTTATTTAATAACTAATTATAAATAAAATGATACTGAAAGAAGAAAAAAGAACAATATTTAGTGAATTGATATTTTCATTGCATATATTTTTGTCTTATAACATTTGTATCTATTCCTACTATGATAATGTACATTCCTCAAGGTTTTGACGTTTTTTCTCTTTTGCGTTCTTCTTCCTCTTTTTTTTTTCTCTTTTTCTCACCTGTATGCTCAACAGACATGCAAATACAATCGAAACATTACATATCATAATTCGTATGATGAAACGTGTACATCGTTATTATAGGTTTTAAAAGAAGAAGAAAAAAAAACCATTTATACAATATATTTCGATGAGTTTAATCGTACCAAAAACATTTACATTTGATTCTCAAAGTAATAGTGATAACGGAGATAAATCGCCATCAATTAGATCAACATTATCTTATTCTGCATATCAAAAAAATGAAAGTATTTCTCGATCACCATCCATTAATCCATCGATTATAAATCGATCAAAACGTTTACAAGCTGGACCATCTATTGATATTCCAACTAATTTAAGTGATGATGAAAATGATTTTGATGATAATGCATCAGC